AAACGTTACTCTATAACCCATTTCGGGATCCTTGCCCGACCAATGTATTGTGAGATGTTGGGTTGTGGCGGCATAAGCGAAATCAGGATCATTTTTTAAGTATAATTAAGTCAAATTCTTTCCGTTCTATTAGTGGATCTCCAGATTTTCAAGCGACGAAAGAGACATGAGGTGTGATAACACCAACGATCTTTTTTCTCAAAAAAATGATATGGTAGTATACTTACTACTAATTAATTGATTAAACACGATTTACATAACATAACTAACTCAAATATCGTTTACTAATAACTTCCTAAGTCCTAGTACACCATTAACGTGAACTGAGTGTCCATATCCTTATTCTAACCTCCAATATGGAGCTGAGAGGATAATTGCCTTAGTTAGATCTACCCTTAGCTTTACCTTTACGCCTGCTTTTCCTTTCGTTTTTTCGTACTTTGACGGGGATTTTGTTTTCACTGTCGTTTAGTAGTTTGCGTTCTGCTTCCGAGTCGTCGTTCTCTTCGTGTTGCAGTTTTCCTTGGTTTGTATGTCGTTTTTAGATGTTACTGTTTCTTACGTCGCTGTCGCTTGTAATTTTTTAAACTCGTTATTTTCTAGGCAACCGCCCTTCAAGTTGTCGTTTTTATTTTTTACGTCATTTTTCCGTTGTTGTCGTTTCCAGTCTTGGGGACTACCTTTTCTCCTACTCTTCCTGGTATTTTTAGCATACATGTCTAGGCTATTCCTAAATCGTAACTTAATCCTGTTTTTGTAGCTAACTCTAAATATTTTCTACTGAATTCTACTATGTCTCGAAGACTATGGCATGTAAATTGCTCCAGTTCTCGTGCACAAATATTCTGAATAAAACAATCTCTTTCTCCAAAACTAGCAGAAACAAATTCTTTGATCAAATTTAGTATCGTTTTTTCTTGTTATCCGTTTTTGCCTACTGTCTTTTTCAATGTGGCCGTTGCTTTCCAACTCAGTGTCGTTTCTAAAATTGCTACCGCTTTCTAAATAAATGTGTCTGTCATTTGAAATTATTGGGTTTATTGAGAAACGAATCACGTCGTTAGCTTCCTCGTATTCCATCATCGAGTTCGAATCTAGTTTTCTTTCTACATATGTTTCTGAATTATTTTTCATTTTTGGATGCTTAAGCGATACAGTAAAGTTCCTTTTCACAGAGAAAGTCTACGGTATCCAATGATCTAAACCCCACAAAGCACGTCAAAATTATTCAAAGTTATTATGGGGACAAATAAATTAAAATTGTTAAAGTATAAAATTATTGTTGGTCCACCTCCTAATAGTTTAAATTTTTGGGATAGATTGTAAACTAACATGGTATCAGAGAGAGAGGTCCTGAGTTCAAACCCCCGTAATTACACTTTTTATCCTCATTTAAATTATCGTGTGTTGAGTCTTTAATATATCTCGGGCTTATATATTCACGTGTTGAACTTTTTAATTAATTTACCCACACGATTGTCTATTGTCTAACCCACACGTGAAGGGGAGTGTTAAAGTATAAAACTATTGTTGGTCCACCTCGTAATAGCTTAAACTTTTGGGATGGATTGGTAAACTAACAGAAATGATAATTGATTGTGCCAGCAAAAATATGTAAATGATCCCGAAGAGAGCAATTGACTTCAGCAACTTCAAATGGATAATGATATCAAGAAAGAATTCACAATTTAAAAAACACAATACACTTGAAAGGGTCTTGAAATTAAGTGTAGATTCAGTAAGTTTACCACAATGTAGAGTTCATGTACTTACACATTGCTTCTTTTTCTTAACAGCTTACCATTTTTTAAGATAATTCCAATACCGTCCCAAATGACATTAATTTCAGATCATTTTCCTTATGAGTAGTTAATGATCCAACGTTTTAGTGAGTACTCGTTTTTTTTCCCCCTTCTTTTTTTGTCTATAGATACCTAATAAGTTAAAATAAGATGTCTAAATGTCTTCCATATCACTAGTAACGGAGTCATCGCGTCGCCAAAGGTCTACTTCGCACTTGGAACTAATGCCACTCAGGAACTCATCCCTTTCCCTCTGCATACTTAACCAGTACTCTGGCTCCTCAAATAGCCTCAGTATCTGCCGAAACACAACAACAATAATAGCGCTGTTAAACAACTTCAAAGTCAAAACAACAATTTGTGCCTAGTAGATCCACAACATTTTCCGTAGTCCTAGCTATTCATACTATTTTTAATTCAATTTGCAATGTTGTCACACGACAAGACGTGCAAGGCAACACATAAAAACCATGAAAGCCAATTGCTAAGAACAAGGTAGAACCATAAATACGATCTGGAATAGTGAAGGCTGCATGTGAGTTTACATCATATAGTGATAATGGTACAAGGTTGCGTTAGTATTTGATAACTGAAGACGATGGTGGGTTGAAAGAACCAAAAAGGATTAAGATAATGGAGCTTACAGTCTTCATAGTGGGTCTTCGTGAAGACGAATGCATAAGGCAAAGGCGTGCCGCGACCATCATTAGTTTCATTTCTTCCTTGTTGTAGTCATCATACAGGTAAGGATCGATTAGGCGCTCGCATAGGCCATAGCTGAGCAAGGACCTTGCCTGCAAGTCAATGAGGATTGAGGCCTAGACTTAGAAGAAAGAAACTAATGTTTCAGACATAAACTCAGAGCCAAAAAAAAAAAAAAGTTATATACCCAAAGGACTAAGCTTTCATGAATTGCCTTGTCTGTTTGAATAGCATCCTTGCCAGTGATGAGTTCTAGAAGCACAACTCCATAGGAATACACGTCTATCTTCTCATCAATCTTTCCATACATCATGTACTCTGGGGCCAAGTATCCGAAGGTGCCAACCACAGAGACTGGCTTTGTGTTTGCTGGAGTTTGATGAGATTGACGGAGTGCTATTGCTGATCCAAAATCTGACAGCTAAAAAAGAGAGATTATACAAGAACCTTTTGTTTCCAAAGACACTTACACCAGCACAATAAAAGGTTATCAGAAAGCAAATATGAGAAAAAACTTACTTGTGGCTCGAAGTCATCGGAGAGGAGAATGTTAGAAGACTTGACGTCTCTATGAATGACAGGAGGGTCACAACAATGATGAAGATAGTTCAGCGCCTTGGCTACACCAAGTGCTACACTCATTCTCTCACTCCAATTCAATCTTCTCAAATTCTCCTTCAAGCTTCCTCGCAAAAGTTCATACACAATAGCCTGCACATCCCCGCAATCACAGTAACCAATCAACCCAACGATATTCTCGTGCTTTATCCTCGAAAACAGCTCAATCTCTCGGAGAATATCCTCTGCAGCCCAGCTGGTTGTCTTCAAAACTTTCACTGCTGCAGTTTGACCATCTTCAAGGATGGCTCGGTAAATTCTGCTCTGAGCACCCTCTCCGATCACCATTATGGGGCTGAAATTGTTTGTTGCCCAACAAAGCTCTTGTGGCGAGAAATGCTTGCTGCAATACCCTTCTGTTTCTAGGATTGAGAGGCGCTGAAAGAGCTTCTGAGCCATCAGGTTCGGAACCTGAACTGGCTTCTTGAGACTAAACAATCCTGTTCTATTGCCTAATGATGGTGTTGAGGGAGATGGGGCCGTGAACGACTTTAGCAAGCGGCGATCAGAAACCAGTGACTGATTATTATTGTTAGGATTAGTACAAGCAGTGTAACTAGAAGTTGATAAGGATTGTCTGAGGACAACCCTTCTAGAGCCCTGCTGCGAAGTCCCGGGCCTTTGGAGTAGGATTCTTCCCACATTGTTCATCACAAGAAGTGTACATGTTGGAGGCAATCCTTTGAGACAAGAACTAAGAGCTGAGACATTGGGTCTGTTGGACAAACAGAGAAACATGTTTAAAAGAAAATAGTTGAGAAAGAAATGGATGTTTTTTGAGTTAGAATACATATTTATACCCTGAGAGGTTGGATCCAAGTGCAAGTATTGTTGCATATGTGAGCCTCACTTGGTGGGTTAACTCGGAAACGTATGAATCTCCTGTACAGACCTTGACTTGAAAATCAACCTGCATTGATCCATAAAAGCCATTGAGCCCTTGATTTTGTAACTTTTTTTTCCCCCCCTTTTCCTTTTTTTTCTATTTCAATACTAATTTCAATGAGCAGAAGGTTAAGCTACTAACCTGCTTGGACTTGCAGAGATCTTCATGGATGTGGAAAGTATTTGGATCAAAAGTGTCATCCGAGTCTTGAACATGAATTGCCAGCACATTGTCCACTGGCTTAACGACCGAAGTCAGCAAACGAAGTAGTATCTCTCTGCTGTAATTATCAGACTTTAGGCCGACAATGATCGTCCTCTTTTCCTCCGGTTTGGGTCTAAATGATAACTTTTGGAGGCTAATCCTCGTGATTCCGACCATCGTCAAGAAAATGGCTCTTGTTGATCAGGTAAGTTTTCATTGCACCCCTAAAGAATTATCTTCGTTTTTTGGTTTTGGGAGTTGTATTCTATCTGCTGTCCTGATTTTTGGGAAGAACTTTGTTGTGATTAGACATGTTAGTGAACCATTGTCGAGCTACCTGCTACCCTAATAGATGATGGGTTTAAGCATTTATTGACAGTTGGTATGAAGTTATGGCAAAATCTAACCAGCTTCATTTCCAAGCAGTAAATACTGAAACCAGTAAATATAAGCTATTGCAATCGGACAAAGTTTGGAAGTAAAAATTTCATGCTTCATGTGTTCTCTCTCTGTGTCTGGGTGCTATGTTTTGGGAACTATAATCCTCAAAATAACTTAGTTTAATATATGTTAATACTTCCTAATCACTGCTGGACTGAGCTTTAGTGATCCCATCTTAAAATGAAGCAAATGAGAAGACCAAGCCATAATTTTTTATATTGTGCTTTGGAATATTGGGAATTTTCAAATATGCGATCAATAGAATATCACTACTTTATTTCTGCTATTGTTGTTAAATTTATCTTATGCCACTAATAACCTGCAAGTTATCTTTTCGTAACCTGCAGGCTATCTTTTTGTAATATGCAAGTTGTCACTTCATATCGTGCATGTTATTTTCCGTAATGGCATCAAAATTTTATGCAGTAACATAAATAATAGAGTTGAAAAAAAAAATAAAGATTAAACTTGAAATTTTCTCTTGGAATATTACAGGCTCAAAGAAACGAGGATAAATTGAAGGCTAAAACTAAACCATTGCGTAACGAGTAAATATGTAAAAAAAAAAAAAAAAAA